AGGACGTGGAGTGGGCGGTGGAGGCGGAGGTGCGGCATAAGCAGCCTTTGAGCGTGTTTTGGAATCTGCCTTCAGCTTCTCAGGCGGGGGACGAGGAGTTGATAGAGGAGGATTTGCAGGACGAGAAGGACCGGCGTGGACAGACGAAGTTGAACTTGCCACCGATGGAGTCGATTCGCGAGACGATGCTGTTGAACTATTTGTGGAAAGAGTTGATTTCAGGTGGGAAGAGCGGAATGGACGGCGGCTTATCGTGTGTGAGTACGAAAGATCGTGGCCGGCGATTGTCCGCCCAATTTTGTGGCGGAGAAGCACATACTCTCATCGAGTTGATACTGCTGCTTACGGTTTATTGTGAGTACGAGCTGGTCGTCATGCATCTCCAGAGTGAAGAACTTGAATGCCGTGGGGAACATGACACACTTGAAAGGGACTTCTATGAGTGCTACGGCTTTGACAACGAGGAACAAGAACTCAGCGAAGACTTCGAAGACATCGCTGACCACGCCGCCTCCAAACCACCCAGCGAACCAGAACATAGACCGCCAGGCCGCCGCCCTCCAGGACCCTACTCCCGACGCTACCTTCCCACAGACACCGGTTCAGCACGGGCACAACCCGACCCGCGAAGGGGTCAGGACCCCCGAGGCTACTACCTTCCGCAAGCCAGCCAACTCCCAAACGTGGAACAGTATCGGGGTCCACAACCCGGGGTTCTACTACCCGGGGGTCCTCAACCCGGACTCGAGAATACGCCGCTCGGGGGGGCTCAACCCGGGAGTGCTGCATACACTAATGCCGGGCTCCCCCAACTTGGTCTCATCGCTGTTGGCGAAACGTCGTGTCCGCCAATGGTCTCCATGCCCTTCGCTGGTGGTGGTTTCTCAGGCGGTGGTTTTCGAGTTGGTGATTCTCCAGGTGGTGGTGGTTTCCCAGGCGGTGGTTTCCCAAATGGTGAAGGGGGCGAGAAAGAGGCCCGGCTGGATCCGCAAGTGGGTGGGACGCCCAACCGCGTGGCAACGCGAGAGAGTACCATGACGGGGTCCGTCCCAGCGGGGTCTGTGCCTGCGATTTCCTTCGGGCCGAGACCGACGGGCATCTCGCCCCGAGCGGGGGCGAGTTCGCCGCGAGTCCCCGACGCCTTTGGCAACCCAACCTTGTTGCGGCCTGCGGCTCCATCGCTTATTTCGTCCTACCTAACCAAGTCGAACGTATCCTCCGTCATCCAGTCCAGCGTCTACAAGGACCCCCACGAAGGCAGCAAACTCCGCGCATTCGTGCCTGAGAATACCGAGCAGCGTCTCCGACTCCAACATATATTCGATTCCGCTACCGAACGTATCGACAAGTACAAAGCCACCGCGGCCGCCGATCTACTCAAAGTAGGTCCCCCCCTTGCTCATTGGTGTCCCTCCCTCCCTCCCACCCTCTCCCCCTTGGTGTTTGTTCCAGATTGTACTTCTGTAGTTATATTCGTTGTCGTCAGACCCGGGGCACGACTCGTTATCGGATGCGGGTTTGTCTGCGTTGTTGGACTGTTGCCGGACGGGGTCGGGTGCGAGTGGTGTGTTGAAGCGGTTGCGGCGTGAGTTGTTGGAAACGCGGGAGCCGGCAGAGGATCCTCTGGAGTTGTTCCGGCCGTCGTGTCTGTCGCTGTTGTTGCGAATAAGCGCGTTCCACCCGAGTCGTCGGGTGCCGGTGACGGAGTTGTTGCGGGACGCGTTGCTTGGGTCGTTTGGGTGTGCGGCGCCATTAACGGAGCGTGTGGAGTCGGCTCGGCGTCTGGTGCTAAGCG